GCTTAGGACATGATTTTGTTCGTAATAAAAATAGCTACAAAATGACGGTGGTCCGATTACGAAATTTACAATAACAAAGCCGTGAGATTGAAAAAACGGTATAAAACGCCAATTTTTTTAAGTTGCTGTAAAAATGTCAATTATAAACAAAAAGTGATAAAACTTTCGAAAACTATAGTTCAATATATATAAAATAATGACGCTACAGCCGAAAATCAGGAGAGCAAAACTTTTTGCTCTATAAGGTGTTATACATTAATCTGCATCTGAATCTCGAAACTTTGCCAAATTTGTTGGAAGTTTTGCTGACACTTGAAATTTGGTACACACAGTGTCAATATGCAGAAACCAAAAGCAATTTGCAAAATTCAAGTATCTTAATTTTTGTAGTTTTGGTAAGGTTTTATACGTCGCCCTAGTTTTATACGTCGCCGTTTTTTTTATTTTTGGACGTATATTTAGGTATATTTATAAAATATTTCATTACGGTAGATTAGCCAGCACAATTACCTACAATTTAAAAAACAAAAATATTTTCATCGTTTAGATCCTAAGCTACTTAACATTTTGCGCCTGTTAGCCATACTCGTACATTATCCAACATATCGAAATAAAACAAAAACGTATGGGGTAAACCTTTAAGTAAACAATTGTTTAAATTTACTGTTGCATATTTCTAATAGTATACAAGCGCCGAAGAGCGGAGCTCGCGCTCGAAAATGAAAAGTTAAAGGTTTACCCCACACGTACGATTTTGTTTTGTTAATATGTTGAATAATGTGCGACTACGGCTAACAGGCGCAAAATGTTAAGTAGCTTAGGATTTAAACGTTGAAAATATATATATTTTTAAATTTTAGGTAATTATGATGGCTAATCTACCGCAACGGAATATTTTATAAATATACATAAATATACGTCCAAAAATAAAAAAACGGCGACGTATAAAACTAGGGTGACGTATAAAACTTTACTAAAACTGCAAAAATGAAGATACTTGGATTTTGTAAATTGCTGATGGTTTCTGCATATTTACACTATGTGTGTACCAAATTTCAAATGTCAGCAAAGCTTCGAACAAATTTGGCAAAGTTTCGAGTTTCAGATGCCGATGAATGTATAACGCCTTATAGAACAAAAAGTTTTGCTCTCCTGATTTTCGGCTTTAACATCATTATTGTATATATATTGTACTATAATTTTCGAAAGTTTTATCACTTTTTGTTTATAATTGACATTTTTACAGCAACTTAAAAAAAATTGACGTTTTAAACCGTTTTTTTAATCTCGCGGCTTTGTTATTGCAAATTTCGTAATCGGACCACCGCCATTTTGTAGCTATTTTTATTACAAATAAAATCATGTCCTTAGCATTTTTTTGTACAAAGTCATCCCGCTGTTATTTAAAGAAAACTACTAAAAAAATTTTTTTCCACGATTAAATTGTTAATAACTTTTTCCCGATAAAATACTTTGTCAGCAAATTAGCCTGTTATTGTACTCATCATTTAAAGTAGGCATGTGTAGTTATTTCCGAGTTATCAAGGTTTGACACACGCCGAACCTGTACCAACTGGACTGTAATCCCAGTTCAAATTAGTCACAGAATTCATGTAAAGTATCTCAGATACCTCGGCGGCCACCCTGTATATTCATTATTTAATATAGTAATATTTAGTATAAATATTCAAATATCTACTAAGATCATTACATCAGCACTGCAAAGCAAAACTCCTTTATTAGAAAATTTTCATTTTTATTCGACCACATGCAATATTTGCAATGGTTAATGCACTTCTCAAAATTTAGACATTATTTTAATTTCGTCCAAACATTTTATCAAATGCAGCAAATTATAACAAACGATTAATTCAACAGATGATCTGTGTAAAAAAAATTGTGTTGACATCTAAGTCAATTATACTGTAAATTAATTAAGTAATACACATAATTTTCTTTCATTAATAAAAGTTTTCAAATTATCAAAAAAGATTTGCACTGTCATGCAATATAAGTATTACGGACCATTGTATGTAAATATAAAATATTAATTTCGTTAACTTCTATGAGATAGCTGCCGTATAAAAATATTTTCGCATTTAATAAGATAATAGTAAAGCTAGCAGTCATATTTCAAAAAGGAATATTTGTAACAAAGAAGTTATAACTTCTCACCACAGCAAAATGAAAATGGTTGGACTAAAACAAAATTTAGATGCACATATACTAATTCTAATTATGGTTGATGTCACTAATTTGGTAATAATGTTTAATATGTTAAAATCTTCTTTTGGTTGTCTAAAGTATATATAGATAACAAAAAAGTTTTTCCACCATATTCCTTTCAGTTAAAAAATTTGCTAGATTCTTTAACAAAATATTTTTTTTGTAAAACTCATACAAATATTTGTTTTTTATTCATAACATATTACTAATAAATTATTCATAGGACTAAATTATTGTACATTTTAATGAAAGCTACAATTTACAATTTAAGTTACATTATTTTCGTGTTATTCCATAAAGAACGAAGTTCTCAAGAAATCTCTCGATCCATATTATGAAAGAACGCTTCAAGAAATTTAGTTTTATTTATATAAATGTAATAAGCGAACGCCGAATGAAAATATTTATATAAATGTGATTATACCTTGAGTGAATCTTATACTTTAGAATTTCCTCCAATAATCAATTTTATACCAATTACTGTAAATCCCCTTTGGACGTGGGCATTTGAAAACATCGAACGAAAATCTGAAATTTAGTGAAATATATTTAAACAATTTGTAAAGTCGCAAAACCTTGTTACTTAAATAGACAGAAATTGTTGGTAGATATATTGTGTTTCTTCTCAGTCGTCAGTGTTTGAAGAATTGTTTGTATCAAAATATCCTGTACAGCTGTGGACAATAAAAAGTTTTAAATATATTTAAACAATTTGTAGTCGCAAAACTTTGTTACTTAAATAGACAGAAATCGTTAGTAGGTATATGGTATTTCTTCTCAGTAATCAATGTTTGTATCAAAATATCCTGTACAGATGTGGACAATAAAAAGTCTCCAACCTACTTGTATTAAAAAATAATATTTTATTAGTTTCGTTTTTTAAACCTTTTAAATTTGAACTTTAAGCGACAGCTATAGTAGGTACTTATAAAATATTCTGCAGTTTTATTTTGGCAACATTATTTATATGAAAATTTTTATATTAAAGATGATTTTACGGATCGACTAAAAATTTTTTTACGTAAATGTAAATTCGAAGAATGACAAATTACAAGTATGTTTCTTGTGTTTAAATAAATTCTAATGATTTTCCTCTTCGATATGAAATAATTGTATACCCAAAATTGAAATCGAAGTGATTCACCATAGAACTGAGGAACTTGGATTCAATTCTCTGACGTTACTCTTGAACAAATTCAAAATTATTTTCTGCAATCTATTACATTCACAACTCTTTCAACTCGTATTCCGTCGGTTGAATAAAATATTTTAGATGTAACCTCAACTCTTTCAGTATAAAAGTAACCAGTTTCCAATATTGCATTTATGGATTGCAGTATGTTTATTTAGTTCATTATGTGACTTTATCACATCTGATATAATTTTGTTTGTCCAAACTGAAGAATCCAAAGATTTCTTGATTTATAAGTTGTTGGTTCATATCTCAAGAAAATTACTATTTATGATTATGTTTCCTACGGTAATGTCATGTCCAGGTGCATTTAGTTTAATTACGTTTGATTTATGTGTAACTTTTTACTTAATTTTGAAAAAGTTGGTGAAAAAATAACAAGTTAACATTTATCTGTAACAAGGTTCATATATTGTCGTGAATTACGAAATACGGTTATTCTGATTAGCTGAAGAACAATCGCAATTCACAGCTGTATGAAACCTATTGTATTGGGATTCATATATTTGCGAATTTGCGAATTGTTGATTGATATTGATATGAAAAACAAACATTCTTACTTAAGTCAACCATTCAGGATAATATTCGCATTTCGCAAATCGCAACTGCATGAATTCGACCTAAGGCGACGGTTACACTAAATGCGAAATCGTACGAACCAACCAAGTGAATTCTTAATATGATATTCGTTCATTCGACGAATTGCGTTGGATATGAGTTAGTATTAATTACGATAGTACTTGTTGTTTATTTCATTGTTAAAGCTTCCATAAAGTAAAATCAGTCTAATTGACACTACTTGCATTGTAGGTTCTGTGACAGCATTTGATTGTTACAATACGAGAACTCAGCTTGATTAAACAAAACTTTGGTCTTACCAGAAATTCATACGAATTCGTAGAAACAGAACAGTCGCAGTGTCACCACATGTGTAAATTTAAATCTTTAATATTTTTATTTTACTGGTTGTGTGATAATTTGTTCGATTTAATGCGAACAGATTTGCTTAGGCTGTGGTTACACTGGGTGTGAATTCGAAAGTCGATATTCGCAAAAAATTAATTAAATAAACACAAAGAGCTTTTTTGTACAATGTTTTTCATTTTCTGTAATCAAATAAATTAATTGTTGTTCCATTAAGTCGCACTTACAAATATATTTGGAGGTGGGACGCATTTGTTTAGATCTAAGTAAAAGTAACGAGCCTAGGTTGTGGCAGGGGTTCAGGTGTCGATGTATCGGTTGTAATTAGGCTGCCGTGGTGGTGATTGCCGCGCGGTGGCCACGCGGTCTTGTGGGTGGATGGGTGGGGTGAGGGCGGTCTCCGCCATTGGTGGGGGTAAGGCGTGCGCGGGAGGCGGCCTCGACCCTCCTGCCCAGCCTGACGATCCTCAGTTTCGCCGCTGCAGTAGTCGTGTCAGTTTCTGTTAGCGCCAGCCGTTTTCCGTGTTCGTCGTCTCACGTGCACGTGCTCGCCGCCAGTGACTGTCCCAAATAAATAACGAACCCTGAACCGCTGCTCCTGTGCTCTCAGGACTGCCATGTGCGCGCTGTTATTGTGAGCTGTGTGTTGAACTTTCAGGTAACCATGCAGCACGCCACAGGTTCTCCCCAGCAGTTCTGCCTGCGCTGGAACAACTACCAGTCCAACCTCACCAACGTCTTCGATCAGCTCCTGCAGAGCGAGTCCTTCGTGGATGTCACCCTCGCCTGTGACGGACACTCGGTCAAGGCGCACAAGATGGTCCTTTCGGCGTGTAGCCCCTATTTCCAGTCCCTCTTCTTCGAGAATCCTTGCCAGCACCCCATAGTCATAATGAGAGACATTAAATGGCCGGAACTGAAGGCCGCAGTAGAATTCATGTATAAAGGTGAGATAAACGTGTCCCAAGAACAAATCGGCCCCCTGCTAAAAGTCGCGGAGTCCTTAAAGATCCGCGGTCTTGCCGACGTGAATGGCGAGCAAGACGTGGTCGCCCCAGCCAGCGACCTCACCACGAGACCGTCTTCGATAAAGCCAGCGTCTACCCCAACCAACAACAGACCTGATTGGGAGAACAGACCACCCCAAGACGTCGACACAGATCCGACACGTGTGAAAAAGAGACGCAGACCCTCTGGGGAGCGCAGCAGCCTGAGTAGCCCTGCCGAGAGCGCGAGCACGGAGATTCCGGAGCCTCCCCCTTCGGTGGAGATGTCTCCGGCACCATCCGCGACCCCTTTGCCATCTTCTGCGTCCGCCGAACCCCTGCAGCTCACGCTGCCTCTTCAGCCACAGGCCCAGGTGTCGCATTCTTCAGATGACATGGAGATCAAGCCGGGCATAGCGGAGATGATACGCGAGGAGGAACGGGTAAGTCCATTTTCCAATATTTTCGTATTGAGTAGTAGCTAGCGAACGCGTTATTCACGAACCAGCTTTTATTTACATCCCGCAACACGTGCAAGGCATATGGGGATTTTAAAGTTTTACCTACCACCAAATACGAGCGGCTTTGTATGTCACAGCTGTTGGACCTAGAGATTAGTAAATATAACTGATCTATTCAACAATAAAGGGAGCAGCATTATTAACCGTGTTAAAAAATGAAAAATAACAGTCCTTTAAGTTGAAGGCGGAGATGTGCTGTTATTTCAATTTATTTTCAAGATGCATCTTGGCATGGATACGATGATGATACACATATATTTAGAGGGGTCATAGCACTTTAAAAAATAAAACATGTAAGCGTACAATATAAAGTTGAATGCAGCCGTCCGCAATTAATAACGTGGGGCGTAAAAAGTTGCCATAAAAAGTGCATAAAGATCAAGTGTGGAGATATTAACGAAAAATATATAAATCTTTCTAAATATATAACGGCACAGAGGTGTTTTTCACGGTTTGATTTATCTGCCTCGCGGAAGTATGAAATATCCCTTGCAATAAAAGAATAATCAAGTCAGTAAATACACTAATACAAAAATTATTACATTTTTACTATTTTGACTTAAAAAGTATGTTATAATTTTATTCAATTTGTAATGTTGAAGAGGGACGCTAAAAGTGATTCCTCGTGATCCAGTTGAGAAGAAATAAGTAATAAAAGTTGAATAGGTAACTACAGAAAACAAGTATAAAAAATATTTACTGAAAAAATAAGGCATTTTTTATCAAGGTTTAAGTTTTCCATTCGAAATTTATTTAAAGCCACTGCAACTAATCTTTACGTGAATATAAAAATCAGAAGAAAAAAGAAATTAACAAAAATTAGAAAAAATAAACAAACATGAAAAATATTTAAATATTATCTATTCTGCCAAGTTGGGTTTAAGTTGTCACATTTGAAATTTATGGAATCATCTGAGTAAACCAGAAAAGGTTTTCATTGAAAAAAGAATAAAGAAATTAAAAGAGAAAACAAGTATGAAAAATATTTATTAAATTTATGTATTCAAGTCGAGTCTGTTTTCACATTTTAAATGTGTCTGAATAGATAAAAGAAAAGAGGGCGAAATATAAGAAACACAGAATGAAAACAAAAACATTGACAAAATCTTAAATGTGTAAAAATATTATTTACCAAAAATTCAAATTACAATTTTAAATTTTAATTATCTGAGAAAATATAGAAACGGGATTTTGCATTGTCAATAATATGATTATTAAACATCAGAGGAATAAAGATGAGTAAAAGAAATCAAAAGGAAAATATGAAAATTTTTAATTTATACATATTCCATCATTTGGGAATGATGTTTGCAATTTTTTATGGAGTTTGTAAAACAACAAATAAATGTAAAACGAATATTTTTTGCGCAAATTTCGTTACATTTGTTTTTACGTCGACGAGCAAGAACGACGACTCGAGAAACGTACCACTACTCCGTAGTTTTCCATCTTAAAGCGATCAAATAACATCAGACGTCTGAGGTAGCAGAGATTTGATAAAAACACTCGTGGAACTCGCAGAAAGGGAAACGGTGGTCGTGTGGAATCGAGAGTGGCGCATTTTCTTGCCATGATCTCGCCATCTCCCCCGTCGATCTGCCAGATGTCATCGCACCGAGCGCGTTCTCTCTTTGAGCGCTCGGGTCAGATGAATCGATAGAATTTAAGTGCATTTTAGTTTAGGCCACCCCGATTCCGACGATGGTTGTCGCAGACCTCGTACTGTGAAAGGGGTTGTTCGGGACTCTCTGCGGCGAATATACTTGTTTATGAGGCTTGTTATATTTAAGGGTGATCGTATTCGAGATCGTATCACTTTTGCTTCGTATCTAGAATGTACTGGTTACGATAAATTAAAATAAATACGCCGAAACGACTCCGGGGGTGGTTACGTTAGACGGAATATCGAATTGAAGCAAATATGTATATTTGCATATGCGTTGTTGCGCTGTCTACACTCCATTCGTAGGAATTTGTGCGAATTTCTTGTGCTGCAATAAAGCCGACTACACATGATTCGGTCACTTGCCAAGTATTCGCCAAATAGAAATGTGTCAAATGTTCACAGACTATTTGATCACATTTATAGCACTAAATTGGATCTTACACACAATATACAAATGTGAAATAGAAGCACATAACGGATATCTCCTCAAATATTCACAAACATTATATACAGTATGTGTATACTTATGAATTGTCAATGGCTTGAGTACACTTGTATATGTAGATAAATTACGAATTCTAGTTTGGAAATTTTGTTGGTGTGACATGGTTTCGAGTGTATCGATATGCAGCATCTACATCATACGGCATTTGTTGACATCTAGCAAATATTTGGCAAGTGATCGGTATTATCTGGAGGCAATTTAAGGCGACGGTTACATTAGACGCGTATTTATGCGAAAATACCTTCGCACGAAGTCGTAAGAAATGTGAGATTGAATCAAATACATATACAGGGTGATTTTCAACCCCTACGCATAAACCTGAGGAATGATTTTACACATGAAAACATAATATATGAACATGGATCCTAAAACAAAGGAGGGGGAAAATTATAAGGGAGCTATGGCCGTTCAAAGATGGCCGCTGACAATGGATTTGTATTTTATGTTTCTGGAAAGGATTTAGATGTGAATATGAATTTTGATACACAAAATATTGTTAGTAAATGCTTTTTTTAAGTAGGCAGTTTTTTTAAATGCCGTTCATTTTTATGTAGAATAGAAACCTATTGTCCGCGGCTGCCTTATGTCACATTTTAGAATCCATGTTTATTTGAACATTTTGTCATGTCTCTAATGATTCCTCAAATTCATTCGTATAGGCTGAGAATCACCCTGTGTGTATTTGTCTTACGATTTCATGCGAAGAAATATTTGTTGTTAAGGTTCGTTTAGACAGAGCGACGAGCGTCGCATCGAATGGACATCGAGTTAAGCGTGCTGTAGTAGCGTCTAAAATTGCTAAAAAAAAGTGTTTTCGCAACAGCTTGCTTAAAATGCATAATAAAACTGTTGATGTCCATGCAGGACATAAGAAAAGATCAAGATACATTTTACGAGGCATTTTAGTTTACATCTCTTCGAATTTGACGATGGTTTTTGTGGACCTTGTACCATACTTATAGTAATAATATACTTATTCACGAGATATTTTTTATTAAATCTTATATTTTAATCGTATATATGAAAATTAACTGGTTACGAAAAACTAAAATAGATACATCTTTGACGGCTGTTGTAGATGCGAATTCGTACGAAATATTAGATTAAAATAACTCATATTTGAACGAATTTAGCTTGTTTTCAGTTCAGTTCATACTAACACATTTGTGGCTGTCTAATATACAAAAAATGGATTTGAATTATTGTAATTATTGATGAAATACGGTCCCCAAAGGACCAAAAATTTAAGTAATATTACAATGGGGAGCGAGTTGGATTTACTTTGACAGCAAATTAAATGTTAAACCATTCCATTTGTGCCAATAATTTGTTAAGAGATCTTTTTGTTTCGCAAGAATAGCTATTTGTACAAATTCGCAGCCATTTTAAGCGCCTTATACAACTTTTGCCAAATCAATTCATAATGTAAATTGGTAACAACAGTTTTAAAGCTTCGAATAAAGAACCTATGACTAGAATTATTATTTGAAATGTAAATTCCATATTGAATGGATCATAATTATTTTTACTTGCATTTATTTGATGTAAACTCATTAAGGAAATGTATTTTTTAATTATATTGCATTTAGAACGAATATGGTTAACGCTTTTCTTGTTGTTAATTAAGGCCCTTTCAGAATAAGTGAGAGGAGCATCGCGTTCAGTTGTACTATTACAATAAATACCTTATTGTTAGAAAAGCATTACTGAAAGGTTTATCAACCTAATATTGAAGGAATTCCTACATTTAATTCTGTTCTTGAATGGTAAGTTTAGTATATATTTCGTACAACGAATCTTATATTTCAGAAATTAAGACCCTGGTAACATGATGGTGTGGATCAACCCATATTAACACTCAAAGCAGTTAACATACTCTCAAAAATTGATTCTTACTTTTACAGATGCTGACGCAGTAATCATTCAAAGCAAAATGCTTTTACACAGAATGCGTGCTTTTATTTTTAGCGCGACGTTCGATGCTATACATATACGATGTTTACACAATACTGAATCTTAGATTCAGCGCAGCATTCGACGTTTCGGCGACGCAATGCCAAACGCGTCGCTCCTATTCTGAATGGGCCTTTAGTTAGCATAGTGAGCATAAACTTTCTTAAAATACGTATTTTATTATTAGCTGTACTTTTACTTTATTTTAAATATATGCAAGTTACTTCAACTAAATTTAAAAAAAAATCTCAAGAAATCGCATCACAGTCTGATAGACAAATCTTTATATATAAAAGGATTGAAGGGAAATAAATTACTTGTGAGATGTAAATTTTGCAAATAAGCAGGGTTCTTGATTCACATATTCAGCGAAACAGTGAGAAGTTTCAGTTGAATAACTTTTTGAGCTTGCCAGCGACGCGTTGCTGTCGCGTCGCGAAATATAACGCGCTATGTAAAAACGCCTTAACTCTATAAGAATTTGCTGAAAGAATTTAGTAAAAATTACGCAACTGCAATAGATAATTAGATATAATGCATTTAAATTCACGGTGTGACTTCATATGAATTTTAGTTTACTTGAACTTAAACTAGGTTCATGCTACAAACATTCCAGTCAAATAATCTTTTTGCAAAACTACTCAGTTTTAATAATAATATTAATAATAATAATAGCATTTATTGCCCAACAGTAATCGATTTATAGAGCAATTGTAAAAATATCTAGTGATAATTTATAACAGATAAAAATGTATTATGCATATACAAAATAACAAAAACTATAGCCAAATATTTCAATAAATGTCAAGTAAAACTTTCAATTGACAAATGCTAGAACAT